AATTTTTCAACAGTGTCTTCAGATCTACACTTTCTGTTTTGTTTGTCTGAAGGATGTATTCAGCTTTGAAAGAAGAACATGAAAATCTCCTACAAGTATTATATTATTTTTGCAGTATGATTAGCTTTTAATTTAGGAGTATAAATTCTTTTATCACTTTGTGCAGTGGTGTCAAACTCAGATAGAAATGGATTATTATGGGCAACATTTTGACTTAGAAATTCATAGATTAACTTTATGTATGATGTTCTGCATTTTTATTTATTTACTGAAACATTTCCCAATTACATTTTAGTCTCTTTCAGGATACACTCTGGAGTTCTGCTGGCCATGGCCAATTGGCACCTCAGACTTAGTCCATGTCTATTTAATGATGATATTGTTTTATTGTATATGGTACATTTAAGCATAATAGAGATTCTCTCTTTATCTTTTTACATATCTTGTTATTATTGCTTTGTCTGAAGTCATGACTGCAACTTCTGTGTCTTGGAAATAGCAAATTTTGTTCTAGTTGCTGCATAATTGTAATGACCACACTTCACTCTAAAGTAGAGATAAAAGAATCCATATCTCTGCCTTCTTTGCAGAAGTGGGGAAGAAACTCTATATGGAAAACACTGTACAAAATGAGAGATTCAGTTGATGTGTTAGTATTACTGAACTGTTTTTTTTTTCTTTCTCTTTCTATTTTCTTACTTCATACAAGGGACAGCTCTCTAAGTGGGGCAAATAAAGGGATATAATGGACAATTTAGGTGATTTTTTTTAAAAAAAGATATCAATAAAAACAAAAAATTTTCAAAGAAAATAGAAATAGTATTGGCTTTGGAGTCAAAGGATTTGAATGCAAGTCTTGGATCTACCTCTTCCTACCTATATGACCCTGGCCAAGTCAATTTCTCTCTTTGGGCCTCATTTTTTTTTCATTTGTAAAATGAAGAGATTGGATTCTACCTTCTAGATCTTACATCTCTAAACTGATTTTTGATTCAATAATCAGTGGGGTATGGTTAGTATAGATTCCCTTAATCAGAATCAGCCTTTAAGTTTCTACTAATAGGAATTGGGTTTTCCCCCAAATCTGCAATATTTTCCAGAGTGCTGGACCCAGAAAAGGCTCTGTTTTTATCTCTCTTGACTTTGCCAGCTACCTTCTCACCCTGGAAGTTCCCTTAGAACTGATGGTCTCCTTGTCCTTGAACATCCTTCTCTATCTGTGGCCATCTTCCTTTGGAAAAACTCTTTGCAACTGTAGCCCACCTTTCCCACTAGTAAGCTCCTCCCAAAAGCTCCATTTTGGGGCAGGACTCAGGACAGCCATCTTCCATTATGTCACCATACACTGCAGAGAGTACCTTTCCCCATCCTTCCCACCTCAGCTTTTCTATTGCCTATGATGTGCTGTCTTCCTCCATTAGATTCTAAAGCTACTCGAAGGCAGGGACTGTCTTTCTTCACTTTTTGACTGTGTTTGTATCCCCAGAACTTAGCACAGTGCCTGGCAGGTAGGAAGCTCTTAATAAATGCTTGTTAATTTATTGACAAGAAACCGTGATATAGGACCAGCAGAAAACCTCCCCTGCTTTGTCCCCTCAGAGTCTTGGATCTTGAGGCCTCTCTCATCTGTCTGACAGGACATTCTCAGGTCCAAATACCAAGTTCTTTAGAACAAAGATCAGTGTAGTCTCACCTTGCTAAAGTATGTAGGTTTAGTCTTTTTCTTTTCAGTGAAAGGTTTTCTTCCCATGATCAGACACTTCAACCTAGCTTAAAGTGGACATTCCATTTCCTTCCCAAATCTTCATCTAGGAATACTAAA